AGTCCTGTAATTGGGGAGGAATAACCCCATGCACCAGTACAGACTAGGGGCTGACAGGACAGAAAACAGCTTTGCAGACAAGGACCTGGTGGACAAGAAGTTGAATATGAACCAGAAGTGTGACATTGCAGCAAAAAAACCAACAGCTTCCTGGGCTGCATTAGGAGGAGTGTTGGAAGCAGGCTGAAGGAGGTGATCCTTCCCCTCTGCTCAGCACTGGTGAGGCACTTGGAGTGCTGTGTCCAGTTCTGGGCTCCCCAGTACAAGAGACATGGAAATACAAGACTCCAGCAAAAGGGCCACAAAGATGATTAAGGGACTGGAGCATCTCTCATATGAGGAGAGGGCTGAGAGAGTCAGGACTGTTCAGTGGGAGAAGGCCTAGGGTGATGTTCTCAGTGTGTACTTGATGGCAGTAAAGAAGACTGAACTGTCCACTTTTCAGTGGTTCCCAGTGTCAGGACAAGTGGCAGTGGGCACAAACTGATACACAGGAAATTCTATTTAAGCACAAGAAAAAAACTTTTTTACTGTAAGGGTGGTTGAACACTGGGAGACATTGCCCAGAAAGGTTGTGGAGATTCCAACCTTGGAGTTATGCAAAACACAGCTGGACTCCATCCTTGGCAACTTGCTCTCATTGATTCTGCTTTGAGCAGAGGGGTTGGACTAGTTGGTCTTCACAGACTCCTTCCGACCTCAACCATTCTGCAATTCTGTACTATGTAGAAGTAATTGGTAATTTAACTCAAGGAATTGCTGCTGTCATCAGCAATATAGTTTCCCTGCCTTAACTTCTTTGTCATATTAAAGGCATCAGCAAGAAAATAATCTTACATCCTGAAAAAGACTTCCTAGCACATGCATACATACATATATATGATTTTTTTTTTCTGTGTGTTAACATGAGTGATCATCTCCATAAAACCTGACAACATTCCTTGTACAAAACTTTTAAAAAATTAGTATTTTTACTTATTTAGGACTATCAGGACTTTAAGATGTGATTGAATAAATCAAGGTAATTCACAACAGAAATCATTCATAATTATATTTTGAAAGGGGCTTTAACTATTTTCTGTATCTCTGAATTGCTGCAATTTTCTCAAAGCTCTCACAATAATAATTTTCTGTTTTATTATAACTCAAGGCTATTTTTTTCCCCTTGTTAATCAAATATCCCCTGATCTAAAGCAGTGATCCTAACTGGCATTTTAAAATCAAATTGTATTATTTTAATGGGCTTGGATATATAGATGCTTCAGTAATTTAGCATAATTCTCTCAGGCTTCATTAGGAAAAAGGAAAGAAAAGGAAACAAAGCTTACTTTTAAATTTTGTTATGTTGCCTCGAGAAGAAACAATAAAGAGTAATACAATTTATGTATAGTCTTGTTACAACTGAATATGTTAATTACTTTTTATCAAAACAATTTGATGTTACTAGGAAACAGAGTGACAAAGGCCACAGGTGGTAATGAAAGAAAGATGCCTTATCAGAAGTGACTAATAATGCTTGAGTTGCCAAAGTAACCAGATTGTCTCCCAAAAATGTACGCTTTGACATTCACTTATCAATGCTACTGAAATGCAACTCTTATGATGTTCACATAGCAAATTTAATTTCCGCATAAGTGATGAATATACAGATTCTTCCATTATTTGAATGTTTCATTTATTCCTTATTCATGGATACAGGACAAGAAAATCTTCTTGTATGTAGATTTCACTCTCTGAAAGGGATAGGCAGTGGCTTCACTGATTTGTCTTTCTTATAATATTGCTTTCAGGTCTTGAGTGATTACGCAGTAGTTTCACCTTGGATTAAGGTGTAATAGTTCTTTCCTTTACCAAATTTTTGTTACGCTGTCATACGTCACATTGCCACATTTAGCCACATACTGCTACTTACATATGACAAATTATATTGAATGTGCTATTTCCTGGAGAATTAAACAATTTTGTTTCATATTTGTTTTATATCTGTATTACCATAAAACTTCAGAAAATTTGTTGGCTCTGAGTCACAAGAGTCTTATACCTTTAGTTATCATTTTCATCTCTACAGTGAAGACAAATGTACATGTTTCTTAACTTTCTCCTATACTATCATAGAAAACTTCTGGTTACGTATCTTCTATATGTTATCATGACAGCTACATGACTGCACACAGGGCTGAAAAAAGGGAAAACACCTTCTTATGCGTGTTTTGAATCAAGACCAGGCTACAGGAAGTGGCCTGGCAGCAGTAAGGCTCTGTTGATATTTTATTTATTGACTTCATATTGTATATGCATCTAGTCAGCAGATCCCAGATCAGGTGGTGCAGCACTTCTTGTGCAGGGATTAATGGACTAGGAGAGAGACTGTGGTACTGTATGGCAAATATACAGGTGAAATGGTAAGGAAAAATGAGATGGGAATCAAGAGGAGAAGGGCAGGAATCTCATGTTCAGTGTGTGAGGTTTGACAGATCTGAATTACATAAAGCCATCTATTTTGACTTGCTAAAGTTTTGTTCTTGGCACACATGTAAATGATTACCAGTTGAAAGACAGTACAAAATCAACTCCTACTTTCTTTGTTGCTATGAAACAAAAGTATGACTTGCTCACCTTTGGAAATTGGTCATGAAAAATGTCTGTATAATTGAGTACTATGTCCAGTTCCAGGGTCCCCAGCGTAAGGAAGACATGGACCTCTTTGAGTGGCTCCAGAGGTGGGCCAAGAAGATGATCAGGAAGCTGGAGCACCTCCTTTATAAGGACAGGCTGAGATAGTTGGGGTTGTTCAGCCCAGAGAAGGCTCCAAGGAGACCTTATAGCAGCCTTTCAGTACTTAAAGGGGGCCTAAAGGAAAGATGGAGAGGGACTCTCAGGAAGTGTAGTGATAGGATGAGGGCTAACAGTTTTAAACTGACAGAGGGTAGATTTAGATTAGATACAAAGAGGAAATTCTTCACTATGAGGGTGGTGAGACAGTGGAACAAGTTGCCCAGAGAAGTTGTATATGTCCCCTCCCTGGAAGTGTTCAAGGCCAGATTGGATGGGTCTTTGAGCAACCTGGTCTAGCGGAATGTGTCCCTGCCCATGGCAGCAGGGTTGGAACTAGATGATCTCTAAGGTCCCTTCCAACCCAAACCATTCTATGATACTATGATTTTCACCAAAACAGTCACAGACCATAATCTTGGGAGTAAGTGACTTCAGATACTTCAAAGCAGGAAATCAAACTATTTCTCAGCTGTTGAATACTGCAGGCTGCTCTCAGTACAAGGTATTTGACAAATATAAAAGGATCTAATTGGAAGTTTGACCAATGATTTATGAAATTTATTAAGAATAACATTTGAAATTCCAGGTAACACTTTTCTGTTAAATATTTTTCTATGTGGAATACTGGTTGTCAAATGGGATAAGATTTATCTCCTCTAATTTCAGACATCTAAAAATTAAATGTCTAAATTTGAGTGTTAAGATGTGTACAATGATGAAGAAAAATAGAGTTCACCAGAAGGAAATTTGTTTGATCTATGTAGATACCTATTTCAGGATGAGATTAATTGCTCTCTGGAAATGCCTCTTCCCTGACTGTAAAGGGAAGCTGGGAGATCAAGCTTGGACACTGAAGTTACAGTTACTTAAATTATGGTGTAAAGCTATCCATGGTGACTACAAGATACAAAAGACTGTTCAAACAACTAACACCTGTGAATGTAAAAGCACCAAGTTGAAACAGTTTATAGTGCATGGCTATCACAGAAAGTAAACATTAATATTGAGAAATGTAACTGAGAAATCTTTCTGAAAAAGAAAAATGTACCAAAATGTTTGAGAATTATTTCAATTACATATGGCTGAAACATTTTGCGAGCCTGTTCTACAAAAACCTCATGTCAGTAGCATCCAAATCTTAAAAGCAGTATCAAAATGTTATAAAACTATATTTTCTGCTAAGAAATCTGCCAATTTGTGAAGTCTTTAGTCTGAGTATGATCTACAAGCCACATTGTTTCATTACCACATTGATATAGTCCTATTGAATGCAGTGACAATGGTCCTATCTGGAGAACATACTATTCCTCAGTATCTTGGTGTGGCCAAATCTAGCTTTCCTCAATCATTTATTTTTTCATTGAATTCAATAATGCTAGTCTAAGGATGAAATTAAACTTTCAGGTCAGCCTCTATCTTCTTCATGAGAAATCATGAGCAGACTGAAGGTTGCAACAGGAACTAGGCCTAGGCAGGATTTTAGATCTCCTGGTGCTGATGTATTAGCAGTAGTAAATATTTAACCAAGTGTTAGTAAAGATTTCAGGCTTTCCACTCATCATCCGTTTATCAATATTACTAATTTTTTGACTGAAACAAATGAAAACTGACTGAAGAATTTACATTTAAGTACTGAAATTTACAATTTATTCTTCTGGAGTTCTCCCCACACACACCCCTTCTAAATGCTACATGCTGTAAAAACTAAGAGATTTATTTACTTTTATCATCTAGTTCAGAACCAAATAGAGCTTTTTTCTTAAAAGGTTAATACAGTATTATAATCAGCTTTAATTTTCTTCTTGAATGGTTCATTCTAATGTTTTCTAGTTAAGCTACTGATCCAGAATGCACCAGAATCCAGAATATTTCTGATTCCCATAAAGTCGTAAGCGTTATCGAATCTGAAAATCCTGGCTGTGACTTACAATAGGCTCCAGAGTAGACCATTTAAATCATCAAAACTGATTAGGTTGGTAGCATTTGTCTACTGAAATAATTCAGAAAAGCTATTCTACCTGACACTGAGGGAACTTTGTTACCCAAAAGCTGCCTCAGGGGACCTAATCCCTTTCATGGGCAGCTAAAAATTTCACTTACAGTGTTTATGAATAATGGATTACTGGAAAGTTTACATTTATTCTCAACTGTAGACTTTAAAATCAACAGGTTATAAAATTACCACATCGATACTTCTGACTCAGAACAAAACTGCATGCAAGATGTAAATATAAACCTGTATGCATAAAATGGTCTGGGGTTATTATGTCTACCTTCTTTGAGCTATTACACAATGTCCAACATTAATATTTACAGTATTAAGTATATCTCTTAATTAAAGTACTTATTGAAAAATTTTTATAATATTAGCAGAGCTGAAAGACAACAGGATTGGGATTATGCAAAGAATATATTCAGACTACTAGAGTGATTATCATGAAATTTTTTTACTCAGTTCCTTTTATTGTTGTTGCTGTGAGTAAGACAAGTAAGTGAAGAACATTAATATTTCAAAGGGAATAAGGAAGAAAGCAGATTTCAGCTGAATAGTACTAATGTCTCACTCCAAAGGCCTCATGTGTCTAACCAGACTAGATGTGTGTTGTGCATATGAACCTTACAACATTTCTTTTTCTGTCTTACATTGTTGCTGTTATTAAATAGTAATATTTCCCTAAAGTACCCAGTGGAACAAGGGTGGCCATGTTGTTAAATGTGCAGTGAGAGGCACGCATTGCACTCCTTTCCAAAGAATTAGTTTACTTAAGGCAAGTGGGGCCAAGGGGAAAGAAGAGACAAAGTGATTAGTTCAAAGTCAGTGGCAAGTCAAGGGCAAAAACTGAATCCAGATCCTTCCAATCAGATGTGTCTATCTCTCAAGTCATTTAGCACCATATTATCATATGGCCTATTTGAAGCCTCTGACTTTCCCATAATAGTGATCATTTATTACCTAATGGTGAGTGAAAATATTATTGTACATGCTTGTAAGCCATATCATATCATGCTATCACCAAGACAAACCAAACCAACCAAACAAAAAATAGACTTTCACATATAGTCTTAAGCACACAGTAACAAATTAATTACTCCCATCTGCTTCACATCCCTAATTATTTGGTCTGAAAACTTTCCAATGCCTTGGGAATTTGCTTAGAAGAAATATTTGCATAGATAAAAAGTGTGTTAGTCTGTCCATTTGAATACAAATTCTAAGTCAGACCCCAAAATCCCCCATAGCCACACTACTTAGTTCTTACCAACATGTAACTTCTACCATGAAAAAATCATAGCAAAATTTAAATATCACTGGTCTATAAGGTTGAAAGTTTGGATGCTCTAATCAATCTCAAGTCCATACTGAAATGAGACTTTGGCTTAGTCATCTGCAGGATGAAGATGGTATCGAGGCTGGACAAGAGCTGCTCTCTGTGCTAAGAAAATCACTCTCAATACTGAATACACAGCTCTTATCTGTCTCCCACTTCTCAATGTCTTTGTCATTGTTGAAAGATTTCTGTCTAATCTGCTCTTGAATTCTCATTCCAGTGCTTCAATGTCCTTAATGTTAGAAAGTTTATGATGTTGAATGCCTACTTGTTTATTTTTTTTTCATAAATATGGAGAACTTATAATTTAATTTTAATTTTTTTAATAGTTACTTTTTTCACATTTCAAGACTTTTTCTTAACTGAAGATCTTGTTTCCTCCACTTTTTCTCAGACGTTATATGGTCTAGTAATTGTTACTACTCTGGCTGGATTATTTGCAATTTCTCTTTCTCAGTTGTGTCCAAACTCAGACAAAATGCCCCTGCATCACAGCACAGACTATATTTATGTATCTTTCCGAAAATGCTCCTGCCCATCCATCCCACTATATAATTTGGTGGTTTTAGGCAATACCATACCATTTTTGACTTCTGCTCAGTTTGCAATGCCTTGTGGCCAAAGAAATATTTTTCTTTAAAATGTTACATAATCAAGCATTCTGTATGCTGTACTTAAACTGCCATTTCTCCTAGATGCTTTTTTTTTTTTTTTTCCATTTAAATTCATACTGTTTTTTTCCTAATGGTTTCTTCAACACATCAGAATCTTTTGCTTTAATGTTGCAGGGTCAACCATGAACAGGTTAGTGTCATTGGAAAATTGAATAAGCATTGTTCCTATTGTCTCATTCAAATCAATACTGTGAATATTAAATAACAACAGACATAGAACAGACCCTGCAGAACCCTTTCAACACATTCATCTAAACCAACAGCAAAGCACTTTGTGAATGACTTTCCAATCAAGGTTATGTATAGCCTGCTAACAGAGTTGATAACCAGTAAACATACAGAAATAGGATAGAAGCCCAGAATGGACCTCATGTGACTCAGAAGGTATTGCAAATTTATACTAGCATGCAGCTTGACAGCACTGTTATATATGTGTTAAGAGAACATGAACAGAGAAAGAATCTTTCTTACTCAAAACACTAGTCACTCTTACAGCATGAAAAATTATTTTCCAAGACCCTCTTATTAGCAACATCATGCATTATACAACAGCAATGCTTGTTCAAACTGTTATTCTGATAAGAAACACTGCATTTTAAAAAGCAACCTCTATTTTAATATTTAATACCTCAGCATATCTAGATCTCCAAAAGTAGCAAGCTATTTAGGCAAGTAGTGCACTTCGTGTAATGTTAAAAGCATTTCTGGCATTTTATGTTATCTGCTTTTTAATGACTGTATTTTCCTAACATTAAAAATGAATTAATATCTTTCCTTAAGTAGTCTGCTGAATGCTGAAAGAGTAAATCTGACAGGGTTACTCATACCTTGCATATACTGTAGAGACCTACACATCAGTTTGTTTTTCCCACTTTTGAAAGGAAATGGGTTTTCTTCAAGACTCAGTATCTCCAAATTTCATCACAGTTATGCCTGGGCACCATGGAAGAAACAAATACACTTGTTACCTTCAAATTTCTTTAAACTAGACTGTCAGATGATAAGTCACCACTGCTCTTACTGGCATTTAAATCCAGTGATGAGGGAGCCATATCAATTCTTCAAAATTGTATTTGGTCTAAATTTTGCAGAAAAGAAACCCTCAGAGCTGTATGGTGAACTCTTAGGAAGACTTTCAACAACACCAGAACAAAGACCAGCACTTTATTTTGTCCTGATCTCTAACGTAAGTTACTTCATTGTCCATGTTTCTATCATAGTAGAAAATATGTACTTCTGTATGCATACTTAGACAATTATTTTTTTTCTGAGGTTTTTGTATGTCCCTAGTAAGGACTGCAAGTATTTTATTGATTATAAAACAGAAGCAAAAACGACCATTCATAGCATTTCTAAGGTAAAATAGGTATTCTGGTATTATAGTCAAATATTGAGTACTATATTTCTGTGGCTTCCCATTTTTGTTGTGTATTTTTCTCCTCATATTCACTTCAGGTTATATATTGCAGCACCTCTTCATTCAAACCTGTGAATGGCCTAATATTTTAAAACCTTTTTCCTTTTACACCGTCCAATAAGAAGTAAGAGACAGAAGCAAGTACATTTAAAAGGCCCAACTTTGCCACATTTCATTAGACAAAAGAACATAAAAACTTCTCCAGCCATCTATAACAATTAGAAAGGTTAAGTCAGAGAATTTATTCCATGAAATAGTTCTTAATGACAAAAGATGCAATAAAAAAAAAGAAAGAAAAATATGGATGATTTTACCACAACCAAACCAATAGCAAGAATGAAATTCCCTGATGTTTTTTGCATATTGGGAAGATCATGCTGTTTTCCCACAATTTTTAACTGACTTCCTAAATTTCTTAGAGATAAGGGTGGCGCTTTGACATAAAAGATGTTAGAAGGATCTGTATGAACTAATCCCATTATAAACCATGCAAATTCATTCACCATGTAGACACCATAGCTGTAGAACTACAATGAGCTGCAGCTGATGTTAGAAAACTATATACCAGTATTTTTTTCATTAACATTACACTCTGTATTGCAAATTTTGGCGGTGTTTAATGGGAAACAAATGCTTCACTCAGATCACTATATTATGCTATTCCCTAAACTAAAACTAAAACAGACTAAATGCAGTGGCAACAAAAAACATGCAAAATAATTTCAGAATCCAGACTCAGAGACTTTAATCAATACCGAAGAATTCAAACACAAATCTCCTTGCCTCTTCCTTCTCTGAGACCACATAAATATATATCTTCGCTTCAGAAAAAGAAGATAAAATAGCTGACCTTGGTATGCCACATGCTAATAGCTGCATGGCAGTTAAGGCCTAAACCAAAAGCCTGATTGTCCTAATATTCTGTAATGCATGTAAATCAGGTTTCTCCAACATGCTTATTACCTTAGATCCAGAGATTCTAACTCTTATTCTGCTCCCTTCTTAAAATATATGCAAAACAGCAAAATTAATGTCTATTTTTGTACAGCTACAAAAATGTTCCACTTTCCTCTGTAACTACAGAGTTAAAGCTCACTGTGTAAACCCCCAACATGTAAGGGACAAATGGGTATTATGATGCATGAATTGTAAGATCAGTTATAGCACCTACTCTTGAAGTGCTAAGTGAATGTTCCTTGCAGGCATATTGCAGGCACTTTGAAAATGTTGTCCCCCATTATACTGAATAGAGGCTTGATATTAGCGGTCATTATATATTGATTTCCTTTTAGAAGCAATGATTCGTTCACCCACATGATATGGTATTCTCATGTGTGCTGACATTTCTAATGTAGTATCTTAAAGTAGAGTAGCCTATTTATCCTATTCACTGGAACTACTCTCTGGAAGCAATGGCAAGTATTTCACAGAACTTCACAAATTTCATCAAAGTCATCTACAACAACTTGTAAGAAAAGCAAATGCTGTTTGCAGTTTTCCAAACTGCCAAACAGTGCATCATTTTCTTGACATAGAAACTAGAAACCATACAGAAACTTTCTGTAGGTTTTTTATTGTCTAGTTGTTTTCTAGTTAATTTCTAGTTATTTTATATTTATATAATTTCTAGAGCTTTTATTTTCTAGTTATTACATATAGTTACAATTTCTAGTTAATTTCTAGACCTAGCAATTATCTTGACCTACAGAAACTTTCCCATAAAAGAAAGCAACTATTTTTCATACTAGTAGCACTACTGTAATTAGCCTCCTACTGAGTTGCCCTTAGCCCAGGGCTCAGTCAAGAAATTATATCT